TAGCCCTGGGAGCCTCACTGACCATGGGGGCGACTGAGGTGCACTAGGGCATCTGTTGGCGCAGGGATGCAGCCCTGCGTGGGGACAACCCATCTGGGGACTGCAGGGCACATCCTGGGAGGCAGCGTGGGGAGATGGAGGCAGGGAGGGGGTCCCGTCTCCCTCTGTCCCCTTGCGGCTCCCCAGGGCTGGATGACCCCTACCAGCACGGACGTGGCGTAGCGCTGGCCGACTTCAACCGTGACGGCCGGGTGGACATTGTCTACGGCAACTGGAACGGGCCGCACCGACTGTACCTGCAGAGCGGGGCCCCCGGCCGTGTCCGATTCCGGGTGAGGGCTGGGGCTGGGTTTGCCACTGAGCCTCTTTGGCTGTGGGTAGGCTGGCTTCACCCCAGTTTGTCTCTGAGCCCCCATTCCCAGTGAGGAGGGGACCTGAAGCACCAAAGCAGGACCTAGCGCCCTGCTCCCTGTACCCGTTGTCATGCCGTGCCCATCCCTCGCACAGGACATCGCCACCCCCAAGTTCTCCATGCCATCCCCCGTCCGCACCGTCATCGCAGCTGACTTCGACAACGACCAGGAGCTGGAGGTTTTCTTCAACAACATCGCTTACCGTGGCTCCTCCGCCAACCGCCTCTTCCGGTAGGAGCCTGGCGGGTGCTTGGGTGCGGGGGGAGCCCACACCCCACTCTGGGGGGCTAAGCAGCCCTTGCTGCGCAGCCAGGCTCACGGGGCTCCTCTCCAGCAGTGCCGTTGCTTGGGCTTGGCTAATAAAAGGCGCTGTGACTGAGCCCTGCCCGGCTTCATTACCAGTCACTGCGATCGTGCCTGCAGCAGCCCCCGGGGTCCCCCGCACCACTGAGTAGCAGCAGCGTGGAAGCTTGTTCGTGACTCCTGTTGATTGTGCGGGTCAATGCCTCGTTACCGCTGTGTGGCACCTCCTCACTCAGCTTGTGGAGCAGTGGGAGCTGCTTGTCCAGCTGGTACCAGCAGTGGGTGGAGGGCAGTGGCATGGCAGGGAGCCCCTGTGGGGGCTCCAGTCCTGGAGAGGTGCAGCCGAGTTTGGAGATGGTGATCTGCGCTGTAGGTCAGACCCGTAAGAGCCAGACTCTCGTGACATTCATGTCACATGCGTGGGGCAGGGACGTGAGCTGCTAACAGGCAATGGCCAGTCCTATCTCCCATCCAACTGGCATAGCCACTGGGGCTGTCACCTCTGCTGTGGGAGGGGACAGGCACTTCCCAGGAAGAGGCTGGGGACTGCAGGGGCTGGCACTAACGCCCTGTCTCTGCTCGGCAGGCTCATCCGCAGGGAGCACTCAGACCCCATCGTGGAAGAGCTGAATCCGGGGGATGCATTGGAACCTGACGGACGGGGCACGGGTGGGTCCCCTCAGCCCTAGCAGTGGGGGGGCCCATGTCAGGGATGCTGCATGCCTGGCTGAGTTGCCTGTCTGCTCCCCACCATGTCCTGGAGCCCCCATCACCCAGAGGCAGCCTCATACCTCCACTTGTTCCACAGGGCTTTGTTCATGGGGAATGGGAGGGGTGGGGGTGGAGGGAAATGAAGGGGATCCTTTCTGGGTGCCCACTGTTCAAAGCCAACCTCTGCATTGGGGAGGGAGCCAGGCAGCTTCCTGTTTCCCACAGCCCCAGAGACACTCCCTGCCCCCTCCGCTACCCAGGGAGCTGACCCACCTGATTGCAGGGTGCTACCCATACAGGCAGCCTTATTCCTGCATTGGGATCACCCCAACCTCCCAACTGCCCCTGCGTTTTTGAGAGTGCTGCTGCTGGGAGCAGGTGTAGTGCTGGGAAACGTGGGGCTGGGCCCCAGGTGTGACATGATCCTGTCCTTGCAGGGGGCGCAGTGACGGATTTTGATGGCGATGGGATGCTGGACCTCATCCTGTCCCATGGCGAGTCTATGGCACAGCCAATCTCCATCTTCATGGGCACCCAGGTGAGTCAAGCAGGGGGTCCTCGCCTTGTCCCTGTCCCTTCCGCCTCTCCTTGTTCAGTCTCCTCGCTCCCCCCTCCCTTGCAGGGCACCAGCAACAACTGGCTGCGCGTAATCCCTCGCACCCGCTTCGGGGCCTTTGCGCGGGGGGCCAAAGTGGTGCTGTTCACGCGGCGCAGCGGGGCCCACCTGCGCATCATCGACGGCGGGTCGGGGTACCTCTGCGAGATGGAGCCCGTGGCGCACTTCGGACTGGGTGAGCTGGGGGTGGGGTAAGGGGTTGCCTCGGCTGCCAGCCTTCCCCAGCATCCCCCTGCGCAGGGGCTGCCGCTGGTGCCCTCAGTCACCTCTGCCCGTCACCCTGGGCATGGTGAGCTCCAGGGGAGGCTGTGGGCTAGGTGCCCAGCCGCTGCAGCGTGGGGCAGCAGCCCCTTTCCCCACCCCCTGCCTGCTGCTTTTTCCAAGCACTAGGGTTTTCCCTGCCCACTAACCCTCCCCTGGCTCCACGGCTGGCAGCCAAGCCTTCAGGGGTGTCCCTGCCTGTGCACCCCTTTGGCTGCATCCCTGTGCATGGGCTGTTGGCACGGGTACAAGGGGCCTGGCTTGGGGAGCAAGAGGAGGTTTGCCCCTCCATCTCTACCACCCCCCTGGCCTCCTTTCAGCCCCTGCCCGCCCTGGACACCCCCCCCTCTGACGGGCTGCCCGCCTGCAGGGCATGATGAAGCCACCAGCCTGGAGGTGACCTGGCCAGACGGCCGGGTTGTGTCACGAGCTGTGGCCAGTAGCGAGATCAACTCTGTCCTGGAGGTCCCCTACCCCCTGGATGTGGAGGAACTGCTCGTGCCTGCCCCACTGG